TAATCTCTGGAGCTCTGATTCTCCCTGGAATACCAGCAGGAAGCTGAGAGGCTGGTCGTGGGCTTGATTAAGGCATAGCAGCTGTGGGTCCCCTTAGAGACCTCAGAGCCCTGGGTGAAGCTGCACCTGCAACTGGATGAGCCATTCTTGTGCAATCTAATCTAACCAACCGCAAATCTGCCAACTCCCGGTTATATGAACACTTCGTATTCCAAGTACAGCACTACCTGGAGCAAGCAGCATGTAGAGCCCACTGCTGCTGGAAAGGGAGGGCTTTGTGCATCCTGGCCACCTACAGGGCCACCTGTCTGTCATCTCCAGCTGGCATGAAGGAGGAGCGAAGGTGCCCAGACCCATGGCAAGGGCAAGAGACTTGGCAAAGGGATGCTCGGAAGGCTGGGCTGTTCCAGTCGTGGCAGCTAGGAGAAGCCAAAGAGAAGGCATACTTTTAGAGCACCAACTGGGTGCCAGGCCCTAGCCCAGGGGACTCAGGAGCATCCGGAGCAGTCTGGGATTCTGGCAATGTTGCTTGTAAAAAGTGGAGGCCAGATCTTCCCGCTAATACACATACACACACAGTCCCCAGCTGCCCAGGGCAGGGATGGTGCCTTTGCTCAGGGCCTGGATGTGAAAAGGTTGACAGGGAACTGAGCCAGGCCCAGGGAGGCCTGGGAACCTCGGCAGGTGACTGTAGGTCCTTCAGAGAGGCCAGCAGTTGCGCACGTGTTTTCTCCCCTTCAGCCTCTTTGGACACAGGGGAGGGCTGGCCTGGGATGTGGTCCTGGGGCTGCCCTGTGGAGGCTGTGGCAAGCGTGCCTGGTTCGAGGACCTCAGGAACCCAGGTCACAGCTCTGGGGACCTGCAGGGTCCCATGTCACACTTGTGACCTCTGGACTCAACTCTCCCACCTCCACCGTAGTGGTGCTCCAACCAGACCTCACCCTCTCTGTGCTCTGAGGTGGGGAGAGAAGGGGGGTGGTAAGAGGAGAGGACCAATGGGAGTTGGTCCTGAGCTGTAAACAGATGTTCTGATTGGCCAGTTATTTGGAGGTTGTGTTACTCGGAAGGTCTGGGTTAGGGCCCAGGATTGCAATTTTAGCGAGGCCTCAGGGACTGCCAGCTGCTACAGGTTTCCGCACCACACTGCACAGGGCAAAGCAGCTGCTACATTGTCGCTCCTCCTCCTCAAGGATGTCTGGTTTGGGGGTGTATACGTCCCTGCTCGAGACCACCCTCGCCTAAAGCACTTGCATCCAAAACCACACCTCCCCCACCAACGGCCAGGTGTCCAACTGGAGCATCACCCAAGGGTGCTCAAGTTCTCTGTGTAGCATGTGCACAGGCACCAGCTCCTGGGCCAGGGGCTGTTCCCACTAAAGCAGGAGCCCCTGGCAGGTGACTGCCTCTGCATCATCTGGAGAGACCTCGAGGCTGAGAGCCTGGAGGTGAGGGCCAAGGTCACCAGCTGTATGCCGGTCTATGCAACTTTATGCCAGCAGCCACAGCATCAGCCCCCTGCCCACTGCACAGGCACACACCCACACCCCAACACTGCCACAAGATCAGCCCAGGTCCAAGCTGCACATGGGACCAGTGGGGAACGGACCTGCTCCGTGAGAGCATGGGGACAGCTGAGCTCTTTCTCCACAGTCTGCAAGTGGAGCCACTGGGAAAATCCACATTTAGATTCCCACCCAGGCTTTGAAAGGCGATATCACAGACACCAGTCCAGAGAAGGAGTCACCTGCCACCTGGCTCCTCCTGGTCCAGCACCTGCCGGGGGGACCAGTCTGGGACACTTCCCCCTCCACTCGCAGCCTCCCTCGGAGATTGGGGGCCTTCAGTTCTGCCTCAGCCGCAGTGGCTGCCTGGACTGCCTGAGTTCATTCTGCGTGCCAGAGGCCTCCTGCTGCAGGGAGATGGGGAGCTTGTCAGTAAGTCACTTCCCTCTTCCCACTCCCCTACGTGGCAGCTGGCGCTTGAACTCTGCCCTGCCTAGCCAACACCCCTTCCTGGAGTGCTCTCCTCCCAAGGGGCCCTACCCTCAGGGGAGCTCAGAGTTCAGATATTCCCTGTCGGAATCCCACCCCCAAACAGCACGCATCCCCACCCCAAGAGGGGGACGTCTGCGCAGTGAGGCCATGGTCTGGTGGCCTAGGGCAGCCTGAGCCACCATAAGCAGACTGCTGGGCTTCAGAGGCAGAGGAGGTTAAAGGAGCCAAACTCCTCCCATCCATGACCTTCCACTGATCAGCCCCAATTTCCTCTGGCCACGCCCTCTGCCCTCAGTGGCTGGTTTTATCAGAACTGGGGGGCCCTGGAGCCTTGGTTTGGGCACACTGCCTTCCCAACCAGGCTTTCGAGTAGCCATGGGGGCTGGGTCCCTCCCCAGGGGCGTGCCCTTGTCCCTCTCTGGTGAACCACAGCAAATTAGTCAAGCGCAAGGATATTTCGGCTGAACCAGGCACCACGAAAAGTGTGCACAATGAGACTCTCAGCTTTCAGGCCAGTGTCAGACTGACTGTGTTGCAGACCGTGCGTGGGTCGGTGAGGAGGTAGGTCGCAAGGCAGGGGAGGAGTGCCGGGTGATGCTGCGGGGTGCTGGGGGTGAGGGTGCACGTAGGGGTATGACTTCTATACTCAGGACCTTAACAGGTCCCCTTCTTCCCCTGCAGAGAGCCGCCTGCTAGGCCATGCGGTAGTGGGCACACCAGCATCAGAGAACTGGGACACTGGGATACAATGTTTGGCCAGCCCAAGGAGCTGGTGATGTGCTGGCATGCCCCATGCCACACCACCGAGGCCTGACCCCGCTCCAGGACTGTGTGCCCAGTCCTCGCCCGCATGCACACTGCAGCTCCCCCATGCAGAGATACCTCAGCCAGCATGTCACTGAGCAGCTGAGCCAGCGACATGCTGGACAGAGAGAAAGGGGCAGCCCCGACCCGGCTGGGCCCACCCACGCGTCCCCCCAGGCAACGCCCTGCTGGGTGCTGGTGTGACTGTACAACACTCCCTGGGAGTGCAGGGTGAACGCAGAAAGAGGAATGAAGTGAGGAAGGAAGGAGGGAAGAGAGGCAGGCTGGCTGGCAGCAGCGAACATTAGGAGCTGTGCTCCTTGAACTTCACCTCTGACCTCTCGCAAGTACAAACAAAAGCCGGGCCTCCAGGGCTGCCTGTACACAAGATGTCTCCTTGTTCCTTCTCCTTCATGCCACGGTTACATTTGCCACCTAAAACACACGCAGCCGTAGCTTCAAATTGCGCAGATGGAGCAGAAATTGTGCATTTGGAAAGCAAGCCACTGAGATAGGAGTCTCCTCTGGGGTCCCTGGACAAGACGTGGCAACTGCACTTGTGACCCAAGGGGACCAGGACCTTTCTGGGTCACTTGGAAAAACTGTTTAAGTGTCCTCTCTGCAGAACCAGGGCATACTTGTGCCAGACTCAACCCTGCAAAAACTAAACGGCAAGAAATGAACAGGCTCTCCACTCTGCGGGGGAAAGACGGGGAGCTGGCCTAGGTTGTCTCAAATCCTCTGCATGTCTATGAAATATCTTAAGTATTTAAAATTTGATTTATTTTATTTGAAAGGCAGAATTACAAAGAGAGAGAGAGAGAGAGAGAGAGAGCGCTTCTGTTTGCTAGTTCACTCCCCAAACGACTGCAACACCAAGAGTTTAGTTGACCTGGAGCAGAGAGCCAGAAGCTTCTTTGGGGTCTCCCTTGTGGGTGCAGGCGCCCAAGGATGTGGGCCATCCTTTGCTACTTTCCCAGGCCATAAAAAGGGAGCTGCATGGAGAGTTAAGCAGCCAGCACAGGTACCCATATGGGAGTCAAGTGCCACAGGTGGAGTTTTAGCCTACTAAGCCAGGGTACAGATTACATCCCCCTGTTTCTTTAGGTCTCTTAAAAATTTTCTGAACTGGGTCTGGCGTGATAGCCTAGTGGTTAAAGTCCTCACCTTGAACGCAGCAGGTCCCACATGGGTACCCATTCTAACCCCGGCGGCCCCGCTTCCCATCCAGCTCCCTGCTTGTGGCCTGGGAAAGCAATCGAGGGCGGCCCAAAGCCTTGGGACCCTGCACCTGCGTGGGAGACCTGGAAGAGCTCCTGGTTCCTGGCTTCGGAATAGCTCAGTTCCAGCCATTGCAATCACTTGGGGAGTGAAATCAGACAGAAGATCCTCTCTGTCTCTCCTCCTCTCTGTATATCCACCTTTCCAATAAAAATAAAATAAATCTTAAAAAAATGAATTTTATTTTCAGCCAAATACTCTTGTATGCATTTCATATATTTATGCTTAGGTGTTTTTTGTTTGTTTTTGTTTTGTTTTGTTTTTTATTGCTAATATAAAGATTCTATGGGAGCCTGCTGCTGTGGCACAGCAAATTAATTCCCATATAGGCACCAGTTCAAGTCCCAACTGCTCCACTTCTGGTGCAGCTCCCTGCTTATGCTCCTGGGAAAGCAGTGAAGGATGGCTCAAGTCCTTGGGCCCTGCAGCCCTGTAGGAAGTGCCTGGCTCCTGGCTTTGGATTAGCCAGCTCTAGCCGTTACATCCATTTAGAGAATGAACCAGATGAAGATCTCTCTCTCAGTCTCTGCATCTCTCCTTCTGTATAACTTGGCCTTTCCAACAAAAATACATAAATCTTAAATTAAAAAAAAAAAAGAAAGAAAGCTTTTATTGGGGTTGACACATTGGTTCAAATAGCCACTCCTCTGCCTATAAGCTCCAGCTTCCAATATGAGCACCGATTTGTGTCCTGGCTGCTCCACTTCCCATCCAGCTCCCTGCTTTTGGCCTGGGAAGTAGTTGAGCATGGGCCAAAGCCTTGGGACCCTGCACACATATGGGAGACCTAGAAGAAACTCCTGGATTCAGACTGGCTCAGCTCCGGCCTTTGCGGCCGCTTGGGGAGTGAAGATCTTTCCGTCTCTCCTCTTTACGATTTTTTTTTTAAAGCCTTTTGCTTCACACCGCCTTGCCATCGTCATGGGGAAGCTGAGCCAAGGGGCCAAGCAGCGGCTGCAGCAGCTCTTCAAACGCGGCCACTTTACCATCCACTGCGGAACTGTTTCTCTCATGGTCTACCTGGGTTTTAAGAGGGGTGCAGACCCCAGAACGCCTGAACCAACTGTTTTGGGCCAAATTTGGGGATAAAGGAGTTTCTTCATCTGGACTCAGAAGCAGTAATCAGACAAGTGCAATGTGTGCTCTGGCTGGCATAGGAGCTGGTATACCGTTCAGTCACCAGATGATGGCACGATGTGGCACAGGGCTCTCCCATGATGCATCTGTGGCAGAATGGAACTTCTACTGACTTGTTTATGATAGATTGGTGAAAATAAAATTTTTCAGATGTACCTGAAGTACAGGGTACCAAAAACTCAAGGTAAGTGCTACCAAATTCTTTTTTTTAATTCTTTTAAAATTTTTATTGGAAAGGCAGATATACAGAGAGGAGGAGGAGAGAGAGAGGAAGATCTCCATCTGATGGTTCATTCTTCAAGTAGTCACGATGGCCGGAGCTGTGCTGATCCAAAGCCAGGAGCCTGAAGCCTCTTCCAGGTCTCCCACATGGGTGCAGGGTCCCAAGGCTTTGGGCTGTCCTCGGCTGCTTTCCCAGGCCACAAGCAGGGAGCTGGATGGGAAGGAGGGCTGCCGTGATTAGAACCGGCGCCCATATGGGATCCTGGCATGTTCACAAGGTGAGGACTTTAACCTCTAGGCTATTGTGCTGGGCCTGAAAATAAATATTTTAACAACAAAAAAGCCGTTTCCTTGAAATCATAAGCAGTGTTTAAATTGTGTAAGACAATTTTCAGTTTTCCTTTTATTTTTTTAAGATTTATTGATTTATTTGGCAAGGAAGCATTTTCATGGCAAGGAAGAGAGCCTGAGCGCTCATGCCTGTGCAGTCTAACCCCAGGCACCGCCCTAACGGGATCCTCACCAACTGCTGTGCTGACTTACCCCGCCTTGCCCCGTGGGTCCTGGACACCACTGTCATCTCCTTCGTGTCATGCCCTGGCCCCTCACTGCCCTCTCCAAGGGACTGAATGGGTTTGTTAGTCTTACATTTGGTGTGGTTCAAGGCTAACTGTGGTGGAGCTGTGCAGGGACCAAGGACCTCATGGCCAGCCAGGAGGCAGAGGGGCAGAGACTCACAGACGTCCTCTGTCGGGTCTCCCCCTAGAATCCCAATCTAAGCACTTTCCAAAGGCCCATCAGACACTTGATCAGATTCAATTTCATCCATAGCATGCTAAACCTCTGCTTGTGGTGCTGGCATCCCATACAGATGCCACTTCGAGTCCTAGATGCTCCACTTCTGATTCAGGTCCCTGCTAATGGCCTGGGAAAGCAGCAGAAGATGGTCCAAGTCCTTGGGCCCCTGCACCCAAGTGGGAGACCTGAAAGAAGTTCCAGGTTCCTTCAACCCTGGCCATTGCAGCCATTTAGGGAGTGAATTGGCAGGACAGAAATTCTGTCTTTCCTTCACTCTGTAAATCTGCCTTTAAAAAAAAAAATGGTCCATCTCTAATCCTTGGGCCTTTTGTGGATATGTAAACAATTCCCCAGAGATGCAGGTCCTGCTGAGCTATTCAAGTGTGGCCTCGAGGGAGGAGTCCCTGGCTATAGGGTCTGAAGGCTACTGCTGAGGACAAGGCCACCATGAGGACAAGGCTTTTGTTGCACAGCCATTTGCCAGGGATGTTACATTCTTTACTGGAATTCATGGGGGAGTCTCAGGCATCCTGCTGTTGTAGTGATGAGAGGAGACAATGGTTTTCTCACCCAAGTCCCTAAATCCAGCAGAACTACCCTGGGGCCTTGTTCACAGACTGCCTGGGGAGCTCTCACTTCCAGAAAGCTGCAATCAAGATCCAAGATCCCAGCAGCAAGATCCTTGCCTGCTGAGCCAAGATGTAGGACAAAACAGGCTTGCCTGACCCAGGAACTGGGACAGTAGTCAAAGCAGCCACGTGGGCCTTTGGGGACAGCAACAGAGATCCACAGGGGAGCAGCTGGGCACCCGCCTGGCACTGTCCCAGACCCTACTGGGCTGCTGGAGCTGGAGGGAGCAGGAGAGGAAGCCCTGATGCCACGGACCCACTGCTGCAGGCACGGGCGGGGGCTGGGGGAGAAGGGGACGCTCCAAGCTGACCGGAGCCAGGAGGTGAGGCACCAGAGACTGCACATGACATTTTAAGTGCTGGGAAGAGCCATGTTTGTAAACAGGAGTCACTGGGACAAACTGTCACCTAACAGCAACCGAAACCCCACAGTACTTGCCCTGGATATTGTCCCAAGGGTAGGAAGAAGCCACCTGCCCAGCACATTTGAACAGACAACCAGAAACACAGGCAGTGACAGTCCCTTAGCCTGGCTCTTTCAACACGCTGGCTCTGCCATCATACAGGGGCCTGTGCTAGCTGCCTGTGGTAGGGTTTGCTGACTGATGAACTTCCAGGAAGTGGGTGAATGGATGCTGGATGGAATATGGTGGGGGCATTGTGTGGTGTGTCTGGGGAACCTATCAGAATGGGCTGAGGGCTGAGGGCTGAGGGTGGGGCCAGGCTGGCCAGGTAGGGCATTGCACTGTGATCAGGGCTTCATATCCGGTCCCAAGTTGCAGCCATGACCTCTCACTGTGCCTCTACCACCCCCCACTGGTCAGCTTCCCACCCAGCTCTCTACCTGCGGCCTGGAAGAGCAGAGGAGGTCTTTGGACTTTTGCATCCACATGGGAGACCCGGAAGACGCTCCTGGCTTCAAATTGGCTCAGCTTCAGCTGCTGCAGCCTCTTGGAGAGTAAACCAGCAGCATATGATATATCTCTCCTTCTCTGTAACAGTTTCCAATAGAGAAAGAGAGGGAGAGAGAGAATGAATTCCCTTGGAGGGCTCACATTGCCTGGGCAAACTGTATATTAAAATTCTGGCCACAGTTGAAAGAGAAGAGCTGATAGGATGCTAATTTTTTTAAAGATTTATTATTTATTGGAAAGTCAGGTATACAGAGAGGAGGAGAGACAGAGAGGAAGATCTTCTGTCCGATGATTCACTCCCCAAGTGAGCGCAACAGCCGATCTGAAGCCAGGATCCAGGAACGTCTTCTGGGTCTCCCACATGGGTACAGGGTCCCAAGGCTTTGGGCTGTCCTCGACTGCTTTCCCAGGCCACAAGCAGGGAGCTGGATGGGAAGTGGAGCTGTCGGGATTAGAACCGGCACCCATATGGGATCCCGGTGTGTTCAAGGTGAGGACTTTAGCCACTAGGCCACTCCGCCGGGCCCCAGTATGCTATTTTGACTTGAATTTTATCACCCAGGAGAGAAACCAATGTGAGAAACCTAGCATGTTTTTGAATCCCTATCTCTGTCGACACTAGATGGAGCAGTTGTTTCTCTACCCCTTTAGGAAACCTCAGCAAACCTTTGCACCAACCCCGTTGTCACCAGGCCCTGGGAAGAAACTCATCAATGAAGGCCTTGGTTGACCTTTCTTCCCTGTCAGGTCTACACAGCAAAATGTCCTTGTGTATGTACACATTTCCACACCCGTGTGCTTCTGCACAGAACTCTCGAGGTTCATTCCTAGGGAAGCCAAGTTTAAAAATTCTGTGTTCAAGCAGTGGCGTGGATGTCTTTGTCCTCCAACCACATGGCTGTGGCTGGGAGTACCTGTACCGGCCCAGACTTCCTGCTGGGGATCCTAGCTCCCCGTGCAATGCTACTAGGCAGGGGGAGGGTCCTGGGCTTGTGGGCTGCCAGAGTGCCAACTGGTACCAGGCTCCACCTGTTGGCCTCCTGTGGCAAGCTCTGGGGTCTCAAGGGTATGGAATTACTGTCTAGGGACATCCATGGATAAGACCACTGTACATGCAGTTGAGGAATGGATCCTGAAGGACACAAAGCAACAGGGCCACTGTACCTGCAAGTGAGAGGACTGAAACCTGGTGGCTTGGAGGGGAGAGACCTGAAGATATTTTTGGGTCAGAGCGATGCACCAGCCCACATGGGAGTCCTGGGTTGGGCTTGTTAGCATGGAACATGGCTGACCACTATACACCAGCGCACATGCAAGCTATGGCTGGGGACCTGTATGGCAGGGCTGGATCCCAGTACCTGACAGTGAATGTCATTCAGGGGATGGGTCACATTAGACTGGACCATGACACCAACCAGCACGCAAGAAAACCAGGTTCAGGAGTGGATTCTGTGTGGGATATGTGGGCCCAGCCTTATGGAAATACAAGTCCTACTGGGATGGCAATGGGCTGAGCTAGCCGTGACCATGGAACTCACCGATGCTCACTGGTACTAGGGCTGGGAGTATGCAGGGCAGGTCCAGACTGCAGCACCTGCATGAGAACCCTAAATCAGAGTGTGGGGTGGGCTGGGCCACACCAGCTCATACAAAGCCCAGGACAGATCATGTTGGGTAAGGGCCAAGCACCTGCTGGCATACGTGAGATCTAGGTCTGGGAATGGCCTGAGTGGGGGAACCTGGGAAACTCCCCTGGTGGGGCATAGCTCCCACTGATGAGCATGTGGTTTAGGCCTGGGTGTTGGGCAGGCTGGGCAAGGTAGCTCCATCCACTGGCAAGTGCGTGAGTTGGTTTTGGAAGAGAGCAGACCAGGTGGGGCAGAGCAAACCATAGCCCACTGGCAGGTGCAAAAACCAGGATGGAGTGCAGGTCGTGCCAGGATAGGCTGCCACAGCTAATGGTACACCTGTTGGTGGGTGTCTCTCAGGATTCATTCCTTGCCTACATGTACAGTGGCCTTATCCATGAATGTCCCTTATCCAGCGCTGTCTGAGATCCGTCCTTAGCATGGTTGCTGTGGACAGAGGAAATTCTTGAACCTTGGGCTTGGCCCCTCCCCCCCAACCTAGCAATGTTGCATGGGGAGCTAGGATCCCCAGCAGGAATCCTGTGCCGGCATGGGTACCCCCAGCCACCCATGCCACACAGCTGCTCAGCCTTACTTGATGAATTAAGTTATTTTCAGGCAATATTACTAATCTGTTCACACTGAACATGCTTCAACCCAACCAAACTTACAACCCAAGGGTTTAGACCCAGCCCTGTGACCCTATTTTCTACAAGCTTCTCTCCTTGGCAGAATGAAAACAACTGCAAGATGCTTGCTGGGAATCTCAGGAAGGCACTCAAATGTGAGACATGAACTAATTTATGAGTTGAAATATGACATTATGTCATTTATTTTCAATGTATTTTAAGGAAGGAAATGCTGGTCTCGTGTACTTTTAAACATAGGCTTTTACAAACAAATCCGTTATTATGTTCAGCTATAATCAAGAAAATCATTTCAGGCCCAGTAAGATGGCTCAATTGGCTGATCCTCCTCCTGCACATGCAGGGATCCCATGCTGGGGCTGCTTCATGTCCCGGCTGCTCCACCTCCTGTCTAGCTCCCTGCCTGTGGCCTGGAAAAGCAGTCAAGGACAGCCCAAACTCTTGGTACCTGTGTAGGAGATCCGAGGAAGTTCCTCGCTCCTGGCTTCAGATTGGTTTAGCTCTAGCAGTTGTGGCCACTTGGAGAGATCTTTCTGTCTGGAAGATCTTTCTGTCTTTCCTGTTCTCTGTAAATTTTCCTTTTGGGCCTGGTGTGGTAGCCTAGTAGCTTAAGTCCTTGCTTTGCACACAGCAGGATCCCATATGGTACCAGTTTGTATCCCTGCTGCTCCACTTCCCATCCAGCTCCCTGCTTGTGGCCTGGGAAAGCAGTCGAGGACAGCCCAAAGCCTTGGGACCCTGCACCCGCATGGGAGACCTGGAGGACCCGGAAGAGGCTCTTGACTGCTGGCTTCATTCAGATCTGCTCAGCTCCAGCTGTTGTGGCTGCTTGAGGAGTGAACCAGTGGATGGAAGATCTTTCTCTCAGTAGCTCCTGCTCTCTGTATATTTGCCTTTCCAATAAAATAATCTTTATAAAAATCTGCCTTTCAGGTAGGAATAAATAAATCTTAAAAAAATCATTTCACGTAGAATTCACAATATATGAAGAATGAACAGACCAAAGACTCTCTTTCCCCCTAACACTTTGCCTTAAATTAAAACAAACAAAAAACACAACATACAACTCCAAAACATGAGTGAGGGAAAGCACCGAGGGTGCATGAACACAGCAGGGAAGTGATTTCTGAGCACACGTCTGGCCCGTGTGTGGATGCTCATCTTTGGGGTAGTGCCTGGAATGTAACGGATAAACAGTGAACAAGTGTGTGGGCCTTGGCCTCCTACGGGTCTGCTCCCTGACTCCTCCGCTGCTGGATCACTGCTCAAAGGAAAGGAAGGGGCCGGGGCTGGTGCTATGGCACAGCAGGCTAAGTACGCCTCTCCCTATGGTGTCAGTGTCCTCTATGGGTCCCAGTTCGAGTCCTAGTGGCCCCTCTTCCCATCCAGCTCCCTGCTTGTGGCCTGGGAAAGCAGTAAAGAATAGCCCAAGGCCTTGGGAGCCTGCACCTGTGTGAGGGATCCAGAAGAAGCTTCTCTCTCCTGGCTTTGAATAGGTTCAGCTCCGGCCACTGGGATCATTTGGGGGAGTGAACCAGTGGACGAAAGATCTCTCTTTGTAATTCTGTCCTTCAAATAAAAATAAAATATATATTTCTTAAAACATATATTTTAAACTTCATGAAATTTTCATAGAAAAATAGTTTTATTTAACACAATCCTGTTTTTAAAATATATTTGTTTAAAAGTTAAAAACCCAGTCAATTCATTTGCTTCAGGAGACAGGTCATCTCAGCGCGCCCTCCTTGAAGGGCCGCCGTGTCTTCTCGAGGCGTCAGAAAGGGCCGAGGTGCCAGGCACCATGCTGCCGGGGTGGAAGTCCAGCAGGGAGAAGTCCTGTTGCAGCGGGAAGCTGTTTTCATCTAACACGAAAAGGCTCTGAATCTTCAACACGCAAGGCTCCGCGCTGGCAGCCAGCAGGGAGTGCAGCAGGTCTGCGGCGACCATCCCATAGGTGACCTCGGACGAGGGTACTGAGGAAGGTGAAGACACAGACAAGCACTCAACATGCGGCTGGACACACACACACACACACACACACACACTGCTTCCCGGCTCCTTGTGTCTCAACCACACTTCCAAGTTCTTTCCCAGATCTCTATTTCCATTTCCCACTTACTGACAGTCACGTACATTGACAGCTGCACAAGAAAAGCAGGTGCAGGTGATACGCTGTTCAGACAGAAAACGGCTCCTGTCACAGCACAGCTACCAGCTTCCTAAAACAACACGCTGTTGGGGTTGGGGCTGTGGTATGTTAGGTTAAGCCTCTGCCTGCCACACAGGGACAGGGAACCAGCCTGGCACAGCCCCGGTCACTGTGGCTATCTGAGGAGTGAACTGGTGGGCAGAAGATTCTCTGTCTCTTTTCTCTAACTTTGCCTTTCAAACAAAAAGTACAAGTTTTTTAAGAACAAGTAGAGTATCTTCATTTTGTTCTTAGCCACTCACTATCTCTGGCAGGATGAGCTACGATCTAACAAATCCTCTGACAACAGGCTATGTTCACACACATGAAGTCACATGACCGTTTACTCTGCCAGTACAAAAGCTAGGTCCTGGTGTTTCTGCTGACCCACTGAAAGTCGAACGTACACTTGGGAGCTTCCCTTAGTTCATGTACTAGTTACACTATCCTCCTGTGAATTAAAAAATCTAGACAGAAGCTGCTTTCATTTACAGCAGCTCCAGGATGCCGCCTCCACTCCTGAACTAAGGGTGCTGCCCTAAGAAGCTCTCAGTGCTGTGATGCTCAGTACCCATCACTCACTCAAGGCAGCCTGGCCCGACCCCACCCTGCCCCAAGCAAGCCCTTGGCAGTGCCATGCTCAGTACCCATCACTCAGTCAAGGCAGCCCCGGCCCCAGCCCGGCCAAGCCCTTGGCAGTGCCATGCTCAGTACCTATTACTCGGTCAAGGCAGTCTGGGGAGATGTTGAGCAGAATCTTCTCCATCAGCTCCGAGCCAACATGGACATGAATCTTATAGTTTCCGTCAGCCACGGTCATCAAGGCTGGCCTGTCAGACAGTGGAGAACAGAACTAAGACATCGAGTGACAGCAGGGGCGCTTCGCCCACAGAGCTACAGTTGGCTCCCTGACTTGCCCCTGTCACTCTGCTATGGTTCTGGGTCCTTCCCTCCAAGCTTTCTTCCTGTATCCATCCACAACTTTAACAACCACAAACACCTATGATGCCCCATGGATCTGCTAGGTTCTGTGGATGTACTAGTGACCAGTCCAGCTCCTTCACTCCAGGAACTTCAGTTTTTAGTGCAAAATAAAAAAAAAAGATGCTTTTTTAAAAGATTTTTTTTTCTTTACTAATAAGTCAGATATACAGAGAGGAGAGACAGAGAGGAAGATCTTGCATCTGCTGATTCCCTCCCCAGTTGGCTACAATGGCCAGAGCAGAGCCAATATGAAGCTGGGAGCCCAGGGCCTCTTCTGGGTCTCCCATGCGGGTGCAGGGTCCCAAGGCTTTGGGCCGTCCTTGACTGCTTTCCCAGGCCACAAACAGGGAGCTGGATAGGAAGTGGAACAGTCAGGACATGAACCAGCACCGATATAGGATTCCGGGGTGTGCAAGGCGAGGACTTTAGCCACTAGGCTATCGTGCCGAGCCCAGAAAATACACTATTTTTTTTTTAAAAAAAGATTTATTTATTTTTTATTACAAAGTCAGATGTACAGAGAGGAGGAGAGACAGAGAGGAAGATCTTCCGTGTCTGATGATTCACTCCCCAAGAGAGCACAACGGCTGGAGCTGTGCTGATCCGGAGACAGGAGCCAGGAGCCAGGAACTTCCTTCAGGTCTCCCACATGGGTGCAGGGTCCCAAGGCTTTGGGCTGTCCTCGACTGCTTTCCCAGGCCACAAGCAGGGAGCTGGATGGGAAGTAGAGCTGTTGGAATTAGAACCAGCGCCCATATAGGATCCCAGTGCATTCAAGGCGAGGACTAAGCTGCTAGGCCATGCCGTCGGGCCCCAGAAAATACACTTTTAATGGGGTGCCAAGATGGTTCAATTGAGAAAGGGTAGACTTTTCAAAAAGTCATTTTGGGACAACTGGTTGAACTTGCATTAAAAAAAAAAGATTTATTTTACTCATTTGAAAAGCAGAGTTAGAAGGAGAAAGAGAGAGAGAGAAAGAGATCTTCCTTCCATTGGGTCACTTTCCAAATGGCTCCAGTTGCTGGGGCTTGGGCTAGACCAAAGCCAGGAGGCTGGAGCTTCCTCTGGATCTCCCACTCATTCACTTGACCCTCCTCTGCTGCTTTCCCAGGCATATTAGCAGGGAGCTGGATCAGAAGCTGAGCAGCTGGGACTTGAATCAGCGCCCGTATGGAAAGCCAGAGTCTCAGGTGGTAGCTTTACCCCCTACTCCACATGCTGGTCCTCCTTCCTCTGCTTTCAACTCAATTTCCTGTTAACATGAACGCTGGAAGGCAGCAGATGATGGTGCAAGCACTTAGGTCTCCCTAAACACGGGAGACCAATGGAGTTCCTGGCTCCAGACCAGCCTGTCTCAGCCCCAGGTGGTGCAGACATTTGGGTAGCAGATCAGCAGATGCACTCTCTCTGTCTTTCAAATAAATAAAAATAAACTTAGAACAAAAAAGGAAGAACTAGTCAAATAGGTGTTGAATGTAACTTGGAGTAAATTAGAGAAGTTAAAGAAGTAGCGATGGACGAGGAGTCATTAAAACCGCTGCCTTCCTGGAAGCAGTGTCAGTGGCAGGAAAGAAGTAGTATGAGCTGAATGACTGAGCGGGAACATGTACAACATGGAAGTCGCTTATCACACTTCTGAGGGGTGTGAGCACTTGATGAGGACTCCATTTTTATTACTATGCTATATATCATGCATCTTAGTTCAAATTTCTTTTCCATAAACGCAAACTTTCAAAGCACTAGGAAAATTAATTCATGCACTTGTAACATAAATATATATAAAGAGAAATAAGGCCCATGAGTTAAGACTCTATTCTTATTCTTGAAATACATCACAATGATGTAATGAATATATGTGCATTCGGCTTTTACACCACAGTATTTAGAAAACATTGTGCTACTTCGTAAATAAAGCATGTAATCTACTAGGTAAAAATAAATTATCCACAACTGTGAATATTTGATATCTGAGAAATAATGAGTTTTTCACTGAATTTGTTAGCAATTTTATTGAATACTGATTTTTCTGTCTTTATTCTCTATGATAAAGGTAAGAAAACTGCAGTACATTATGTTCAAACATCTAATTGTCTTCCACAACCCAGGTAAGATCATGTAACATCTCTAATCTTTTTTAAGATTATTTTTATTGGAGAGGCATATTTATATAGAGACAACAGGCAGGTTCACTCCCCAAATGTCCACAATAACAGGAAATGGACCTGTCTAAAACCAGGGGCCTGGAGCTTCTCTCAGGTCTCAAGTGGGTGCAAGGGCGCAAGGACTTGAGCCATCCCTTGCTGCTTTTACCAGGACTTGAATCAGCGTACATAGGGATGCCAGAGCCACAGGCAGAGGCTTGACTGGCTATACAGAGCCAACACCTACATCTTTAACCTTTGAATTCTGATCATATGGTAAGTGGGTAAATGAGTTATTTATGAACCATTTAAATCTCACTTCAAGATTTAAGCCAAGTAAAAAATTTTTTTAGTGTGTCTAACAGTTTGAAAACAGTAAAGTCAGCCCAGCGTGATAGCTCAGTTGGTTAATCCTCCCCTTGCAAGCACCGAGATCCTATATGGGTGCTGATTCATGTCCCTGCTTTTCAACTTCCCATCTAGCTCCTTGCTTATTATGGCTGGGAAAGCAGTAGAGCATGGCCCAAAAGCCTTGAGGATCTGTACCTATGTGGGAGACCCAGAAGAAACTCCTGGCTCCTGTTTTATGATCAGCTCGACTCCAGCCACTGTAGCCAGCTGGGGAGGGAACCAGCAGATGGAAGACCTCTCTGGTTCTCCCCTCTGCAAATATACCTTCCCAATAAAAGTGAACACATCTTAAAAAAAAAAAAAGAAAGAAAAGAAAAGAGTAAAATCTTCCTCAGTTCCTGCTTTAATTTTTTTTTTTTTTGCTTTCCTAAATCGTTATTTGTTACTCAGGAAGTATAGTTTTTTTCTCTCAGAATAGCTCCACTTTGCTGTTGTAAGAAAATAAGGGTTGACCTACTAAACTTGCTAGTCATTTCTCGTCCTATACCATCACATGAGCGTGCGTCACTGCCTTACCTGTAGTACACCTTCTTCGTCGTGCACGGCAAGCAGGTAAAACACTGCTTGTAGATCCTGTTCTCATCTCTCTCTAGTGCCAAGGCGCACTTGGCACAGCCGGTGTATGTGAGCTGGGGAAGACAAGAGAAGACCCTGTGCAGGGACGTGAGCGCATTCAGGGTGACTGTCTCAGCTGCTGCGCCAGGAAACACCAGCTCTAAAACCCGGGCTTTTATCAGGCTCACTCCTAGACAAGGCAGACACAAAGGAACACACTAAATTCGGGCCCCAAACCAATAGGTTACACTGTGTGAAAGCCGCTTTTTATTCCTATTTTCCTGCCTGCTACCACTGATGCTCTCGTGTACGTTAAGCAGCTCTGAGACTCCTGGTTTCCTAAAAAGCTTCATTGATGACTCAGCAGAACCTCTGTCAATGGCTCCCCACCCATTAAACAGACACTATCTGGGATGTGCCAGACAAGCTTTCCTAATCAGTCTCCGTCAATGAAAGACTGGTCTACAGGAGCTTATCTGAACATCACTCTCCCTTCCTCTCCATTTTTAACTTCAAATCTCTCTCAGCCTTCAGATGTGCTTCTTGTCCTGTGGGCACTAGAGCGTTCCAGGGCAACACCTCATCCTGCTGGTCTCAGAGTACAATGGAGGCTCTGCTGCTCTCACCTCTCCTTCCAGTGCCCAAGACGGCTCATCACCTCTTCCAGCCATGCCCTGCACCCCAGGTTAGCAGGAGCGGGCAGCAGCTGTGTAATGACCCACCACAGAAACGCTGCATTACAGCAACACCATCAAGGAAGGAATTCCATCAGTTTGGAAGATGGTTATCATTGTTCCAGTACTGTGTAAATGTACATGCCTCTTTAAGAGAAGCAAATGGGGGCTCAGCGCAGTAGCACAGTGGCTAAAGTCCTCACTTTGCATGCGCCGGGATCCCATATGGGTGCCAGTTCTAATTCCGGTGGCCCCACTTCCCATCTAGCTCCCTGCTTGTGGCCTGGGAAAGCAGTTGAGGACGGCCCAAAGCCTTAGCTCTCTACAAGGAGGCAGAGCCTGTCTTAGCATCCCTCCGGCTGCTGGTAAGCAAGCAGCCCATGATTTCTGAAAGCACCCCCAGCTTCATCCCCAAGCCAGAGGGGCCATGCGCTTGGCACCATTATTCATCAGTACTGCAGCCTCCTACTCGGGTGCCAGCCATGCGGTTATTTTATGTTTAAATCTAAGCTGGGCTCACTAGCTGAACTATATGATCTGGCTATTCCAGCAGGTGTCTGGAAAACAGTAACATTATCATCTGGCACTTGACTGAGGAAGAAGAGACTGGCCTCTTGCTTACATCCTCAGATATAATAAAAAATTTTTGATCTCTATTCCTGATTTCTGGCACAAAATTCTTAAGACCCTTTGATAAAAGTGAGATGACTGGTAACTGGAGGGGGGGGGCAGGGTCAGGAAAACCACAGGAGGATTAGAGGGTTTGAACTTGCATCGCCTCCTCCCTTCCTCCTGGGACAAGGGGCTGGAGACTGAGTTAAGTACCACTGGCCAGTGTCTCAACCATGCCTGCTTCCTGGAATCCTGATAAAACCCTAGGTGGCAGGGTCTGCAGAGCGGCTGGGGTGGTGAGCACAGCTGTGGGCTGAGGGGAGGAGCAATGGGAAAGGGCACAGCACGCGCTGCTCAGTCCGGTGCACCATTCCAGCAAACGGTCACCGCCCAAAGGAGACTGTGGCAACTCCCAATTCTGTGGAGAAGTCAGACAAAAATGTGGACATCTGGCCACTCAAACTCTTCAACCTGACAAGTCAGACACCACCTTTGGGTGTGTGTTCTCAGAAGTACACTGAACTGTGGGACACCCAGCTGGAGTCTGGGAAATTGGGTAACTGGTTGTTGGTGTGGGAAAGAAATCTGGCGTCAGCAGTGTAGCAATTGACACAGTTCATACTCGTGAACAACATAAGAAGCCTATCAAATGCATGACTCAACAATTCAGGAGACATTGAACAATGGACGGCAGGAGAGTGATCCCAGGCGACGGGAGATGAGAGCCGTAAGCCCTGTGATGGCCGCGGCTCACAGACCAGTTTCTGCCTACACTACTGACTGGGAAGCAGACTCCAGCCGGAGCCGGCAGTTCCTCTACGCTCAGATAGAGACAAGTGTGGAGTTTAGAAGGCTGACGTGGCGGGGAGTTCTCAGCAGAGGGCACAGGGCAGCTGGGAGATGCAGCCAGCCAGGACTCTGCAGAGTGCAGCTGAGTATTGTCTAGCAGCCAAGGGCAGAACTGCCCATCAGGAGCAGACAATGAGAAAGCACCCATATCGATGACCTCAATTTCTAGGTTTCATAGGTAATGAGAAAAGGTCGGGGCTGGCACTGCGGCGTATCATCTGCCTGCGGCACCAGCATGCCGTACCGCCTCTGGTGTGTGTGCCAGCTGCTCTACTTCAGATTCAGCCCCTTGCCTGTGGCCTAGGCAAGCTGCACAGGATGCCTCAGGTCCTCAGGCCACTGCACCTACATGGGAGACCTGGAGGAAGTTCCCGGCTCCCGCCTTGGTATTGGCTCAGCTTTGATTGCTGCAGCTATCTGGGGAGTGAACCAGCCAATGGAGGATCTCCGTGTACCTCTCTTGTCTTTCAAATTTAAAAAAGTAACAAATACTTAAAAATTTTTTTAAAAGTGAATTCCAAGTAAGCAGGAGGAAATGATAAAGATCACAGCAAAAATCAATACAGTAGGAAAGATAAAAATAGAGAAAAAACAGTAAAACCAAATGGCAGTTATTTGATAAGATCAATGAAACTGATAAAACCAACTACATTAATCAGAAAAAAAGAAAGAAAGAAAGAAGACACAAAGTGCCAGTATCAGGTAATAACAGTACCACTACAGACTCCACAGGTATTAAAAAGGATAACAACATAATATTATAACTGAAACGGCACCACAGTTTTGTGGCTAAGTCAACAGGCTTGAAGAAATGATTCCATTTCTTGAAGGCTGCTAACTACCAAGCTCGCTGATGTGCGGAGCACAGACACCTGGACAGCATTCCAAGCTGCAAATGACATCTGCTGTCGTTTCAACTCGGAATCAGCATCTTTTTCTGTCTGTCTCATTATAAAGCCCCAGTGAAACCTGCTTCCTACTAAAATCGTATATTCATCAAGTGATTTTGCTAACTGCCGCTTTCTCTCTTCATTCAAAAGTCTATGGCATTTTGAACACTAAGTGAATTTATTAAAAAAGATTTATTTTTATTTCAAAGTCAGATATACAGAGAGGAGGAGAGAGAGAGAGGAAAATTTTCCGTCTAATGGTTCATTCCCCAAATGAATGCAAGGACTGGAGCTGAGCTGATCCAAAGCCAGGAGCCAGGAACTTCCTCCAGTTCCCCCAGGTGGGTGCAGGGTCCCAAGGCTTTGGGCCGCCCTCAATTGCTTTCCCAGGCCACAAGCAGGGAGCTGGATGGGAAGTGGGGCTGCCAGGATTAGAACCGGTGCCCATATGGGCTCCCAGGGTGTTAGGTGAGGACTTTAGGTGATATACTATCATGCTGGACCCAAGTGTACTTTTTTTTACTTCACTCAAGAAAAATTACTTTAGGGCCTAGTGAGGTAGCCTAGAAGCTAAAGTCCTTGCCTTGCACACATTAGGGTTCCATATGGGTACCAGTTCGTATGCCTGCTGCTCCACTTCCCTTCCAGCTCCCTGCTTGTGGTCTGGGAAAGCAGTAGAGGATGGTCCAGAAGAAGCTCCTGGCTTCAGATCAGCTCAGCTCTGGTCACTGTGGCCACTTGGGCAGTGAACCAATGGACAGAAGATCTGTCTCTCTGTAAAGCTGACTTTCCAATTAAAAAAAATCCATTCTCTGATAATGATGTGCCTGGAAAAGCAGCAGAGGATGGCCCAAATCCCTGGACCCCTACTATCAACGTGGAAAACCTAGCTCCCGGTTTAAGCAAGGCCAGGCCTGTCACTCGGCAGGTGAACCAACAGAAGATCTCTTTTACTCACTCTGTCACTCCCCACACCTTCTCACTCCTTAACTCTGCCTTTCAAATAAACAAACACATCTTTTTAAAAAGTCATCACCAACGGCATTTTCCCTTTGGTATACTTTTTTTTTAAGGTTTATTTATATATTTTTTTTGGAAAGGCAGTTTTGCAGAGAGAAGCAGTAACATACATCTTTTGTCCACTGGTTCACTCCCCAAGTGGCCGCAACAGCTGGAGCTGAGCTGACCTGAATCCAGAAGCCTTTTCCAGGTCTTCCATGTGGGTGCAGGGTCCCAAGGCCCCAGGCCATCCTCCGCTGCTTTTCCAGGCCACAAGCAGGGAACTGGATGGAAAGTGGAGCAGCCGGAACACTAACCAGTGCCAACACAGGATCCCGGTACCTGGAGGTGGAGGATCAGCCAGCTGGTATGCTTCTAAGGGATGAATTCTGTCTACACTCACCACACAGGGTTTGGGAAGTATGCCATTACATTCACAAAGCAGTAAATAAAGGTCACATGGTTTATTTTCACAACTGTGTCTAGATGATAGCCAACTGATTTCCTAAGATGTTTATCTCAACAGCGACTCCAGTGAAGGTCAGCCTTTTTCTATTTCAGACTTACCAGAGGATGAGCTGCTGGCAACTATATACCAAAAAGCATTTTAATTGATCCCTAATACTTAGAAATTAACCTCAGAGGACCAGAGGCAGGAAGCTAAGAAGTTGCTAATATCTGGGCCAGCTGTTTGCAAGAATTTACACTTCATTTTAATATTCAACTATACAAATGAAAGCTTCTTTGCATATATTAAAACTAGCAACATTTTAAGTATATAAAAATCTTACCTGAATGCTTATCTTGTAGCTGAGTTGCTAAGTCTGACAGCTTCAAAAAGGAGGGTGTGCGTTTTTGAAATTTTTCTTTGAATGTAATCGCCCTTACATCATCATCAAAGAAGCACTCACAGGATGACCAGGGTGTGGTATGCAGTTCCAGGCTTTCTAGTACACAATTACGCTGAACAAAAAGATATTTAAATTCCCAAATACAATCTTAAACAAAAACAGATAAAAACAAAAAGTCACCAAAAAGGAAAAAGTCTAGGTTCAAAACCAGATGAAATACACTGGTCTGATTATATCAGTTAAACACAAATTCTGTTACTAAAGAATTTGAGTATCAACAGAGAAAACATGTGGCGTTGTTGTTAAAGCCTCTGTCTGTGATGCCAGCATCCATTGAGGGCACTGAGTCCTAGCTACTCCACTTCCAATCCAGCTCCTGCTAATGGACTGCGAAAAGCAGTGGAAGATGGCCCAAGTGTTTGGGCCCCTGCCACCTACATAGCAGACTCAGATGAAGCTTCTGGCTCCTGCCTGGCCCAGGGCTCCCAAGCCACATGCAGGGAGCTGGATGGGAAGTGGAGCAGCCAGGACACAAACCAGTGCCCATATGGGATCCCGGTGAGTTCAAGGTGAGGGTTTCAGCCACCTAGCCATTGTGCTGGGCCCAAGGAGAGGTCTTCTAACACTAATTTTTCTGATAGCAACAACTCTGGTTGTAGTTCCTTACTTACTTCAGACCATAAATCTAACTCACTTTACTAATTCACCTCTTTAGTGGATTCTGTTGGGTTTTTTTCCCAGTGCAAAATTGTCAAACAAATCAGGTAATCATCAGCACATCATTACACAGAACTACAGCAGAGATAATCCAAGTTGCTACATAATAGCCAATTATTATTTTTAAAGTAGCTTTCTTATTTTATTGCAGAATGTATATAAGAAATCACAGACATTAAGTAAATAAATAAAAGCAGCTATAATCTCAACATTCTAAAATGAAATAAGCATTAATGCTCTTGCGGACAACCTATTTTTTGATTTTTTTTATAAAGATTTATTTATTGGAGGGGCAAAATTTTACTGAGAAAAAGATCTTTCATCTGTTGGTTCGCTCCACAAGTGGCCACAATGGCGAGTTGAGCTGATCTGAAGCCAAGAGCCAGGAGTTTCTTCTGGGTCTCCCACGTGGGTGCAGGGTCCCAAGGCCTTGGGCTGTCCTTGAATGCTTTTCCAGGCCACAAGCAGGGAGCTGGATGGGAAGTGGGACAGCCAGGGCATGAACAGACACCCATTTGGGATCCTGGACCATGCAAGGCGAGGACCTTAGCCACTAGTCTACCACACTGGGCCCCCTATTTTGGATTTATCTGAGTTTTACTAACTGTGTCAAATATATGTTTTTAGGCCACTAAGTGTCATTCTAAGTATCTTTAAAAATTACAACATATAACACACACATATGTGTACTATATTAAAACTACAGCAACAAATCAAAATCTTAAATTATACTAATTCTCTACTTTGGGATTCCATTTTTAAATTTAACTTTATTATTATTATTACTAACCATACTATTTGAAAGTATAAACACTTTTGTAAATGATCTTTAGAAATTTAAATTCCCCCCTAAAAAGGTATTATCTTTGGGAACTGAATTGGAAACCATAATTTTTAAATGCTGGCTAAAAATAAATAAATAGATGAACCAAAAAAATCACACCTTAATACGTGCATCAGTAAGTTTCCAATAGTAAGCACACCAGAATCATTAAAAGATTGTGACGTCTCTTTTACTAACCACGTAACTGAGAACCTTAGATGTCCGCAGTGAGCAGCACGTGGCCCGCCTGCCCGCAGCCCCAGCGCCCTCTGACCCACACTTCTGTTCAGCATGCTCCAGACTCGTGCCCCTGGCCGTGACACGCAGGTCAATGATCATGGCTGCTTACCATCAATACATGTTTGCCAGATTTCCTAACTGAACAAATACCTGCCGCTGTTTAATCCCAACTTAAAAGTCAGAAGTCAGACTTCTCATGAATCCTAAGTTACAAGCTATTAATGATTAAGGGAAACAATGTGACAGACCCTACCCTGCATGACTACTGGGTCCGTAGGAGTTTGGGAAGAGACATTAATGTCTTCAGGTAAAATGTGATGGGCCATGCCATGAATCAATCTTTAATTTCGCAGGTAAAATGACGTAAATCCACTAACCAAACTATCCTTCACTGTTAAAAGAGGATATCACAATATAAAAAATGAGACATCATAATCTTTTACTAGAATGTCAACTAAATTTAATTCATTATACCACAAATCATTTAGTTTTAAAATATAACCATGGGTCATATTTTAAATACTAATTTGCGATGGGTGGCTAACAGTGAGTACTTTTAAAACAATTTGAGGGGCCAATGCCAGGGCCTAGTAGGCTAAGCCTCTGCCTATGGTACCAGCATCATGTATAGGTGCAGGTTCGAGTCCTGGTGGCTCCACTTCTCATTCAGCCCCATGATTATGGCCTGGGAAAGGATGGCTCAAGTCTTTGGGTTCCTGTGTCCATGTGGGAAACCTAGAAGAAGCTCTAGGCTCATGGCTTCGGAAAGGCCCATGCCCAGCCATTGTGACCACATGGGGAGTGAACCAGCAGGTGGACTATCTCTCTGCAACTATGCCCTTCAACAAAATAAAATTAAATCTTAAAAAAAAAAAACCTAGAGGTGAGACAAAATGAAGTTTTTAAACTTTGGAACAAAACCACAAAACCCTGAAACATTGTAATTTTTGAGCAGCAACTGTGAGTAACTGTGATTTGAAAGTTGATGTACTCTGCTAATACTTGATCAGAGAGCAACTCATTTTTTGAGAGTGCTATGCCTGAAAAAAAAAATCGGGAATTTTCCCAGAGCTAGATTTTCAAAAAGCACTATTTGAAGGAGACCAAATTTTAACTGAAAAGGTAAAGTGGTAGACATGTGAATAAACAGAAGCCTTTACTCTGACACCATTAATTATAAAACAGGTTTTAGACAACCGAATTGTTACAGAAGGCATAAAATGACAGAAAAGTGGCAGAAGACTCAATCATGGTCACTTGGACTCCAACTGTTGTCTCACCTCTTACTATCTCTTCACCCCAGGAACATAAGCATTAATCATTGACCAAACATAAATAGGCTGTTTTTGGTGTGTTTACCTTTTTTCCTTTGAAGCTGAGGGTACCACGCTGCCCCAGGACCCCACAACACCAGCACGTACTGTTGACCCGGGGTCTGTTCCACTGTTAACACAACCTTCCTTTGCGTCTGTCCTCTGTAACTGTAGGAAGCCTCTGGGAAGGGAGAAGAGAATCTGACCTGATGTGACAATCACCCTTCAGCATCTGCACCCCCCACGGATGCCAAAATCCACGGGTGAGAACAGTGGAGGATTTGGGTAAACCTATGCACTTCCTTCCACACACTTCAGTCTTCTCTAAATTGCCCAGAAAATTCAATGGAGAGTACATGCTGCGTACAGGGTTGTTACACTATCTTGTTCAGGGAATAACGCCAAGGAAAGGAGTGCGTCCACAGTCAGTATCCCTGAAACCTGAAAGGAAGGAGGTCGTCAAGTGCTTACCTGTAAGTACTGTGACATCCACAACTCTCACCACTGCATGGACCAGCGTATCAGACTGGAGCTGCTCCAATTCTACGGACTCTATGCAGTTCACCCTCTGAGGCCGTCTGTGAGGTAGGTCTCTGAGATAGGGATGTTTTGTAGACACATATGCCAGTAAGTCTCTAAGTACAACATCACTAACAACACTGGAATCTAAGGAAGAAACACACACACACACACGGACAAAGGATAGCACCATTATATTTTCCTGACAACATACAGTATTTTCTTAGAGCTGTATTTTATGTTATACGTGTTGATTATATACAAAACCTGACTCCGTCTCTATAAAACAGGTAGCTTGCTCTTGAATCAATTTAGATGTGAAAACAAAGCTTGATACTCCTAATCACTGGAAGCAATCACTATTCTCTAAATAAACTTGCTGTGTCCCCTAACTTCTTCTCTCTTGGGTTAATAATCTTATTTCTCCTCCAATTAACCCAGCTGAAAACTCCCCTATTGTCTTAACTCCCCCAGTCCCTCCCTAAGGTCCCTGCAGTCTGATGGGATCCTGTCTCCTGCACGTCAGACACCAGGACGCCTGCCCAAGGCCCCAGCACCTCACACCCGCCAGACTCCACAGACTGCCAACTGCGTCTCTCCCTACACCCCGTCCTCCTTCCCTTCTCGGCGCCTCATGCCCACCACGTTCAGCTGGGTGCAGGGCTGCCAGCCTCCTTGCTCCCCACCCAGACGCCACACAGAACCACCACCTCAGTAGCCCACAGTGAACCCCCTCCCCGGATCTCTCAGAGATTTTTATCTCCAACTCTCATCTGGCATTTGAGCAGGTGCTACACCAGCTTCTCTTGGTTAGAAGACTTGTGAATTAATTCCTCAGTCCTTATGTTATTTAAAGGCCTTTTTCTCCTTTCCTTCTCCATTTCTTCTCATTTTTAAAAATCAGGTATACTTACAACATACACATATATATTTACACATATATTATATGCATATACATATATATTATATTGGTAATATGTGCAATAAAATACAGTCATTGTAAAGAAACAGACTGATGAGTTTTGCATGTATGCTGTTAATTTGTCTGAAGAGATGTATGTTTGCATATGTGATTGATCGTGTCAAAAACAAGATTTTGGGGGAAAACACACACACACACACACTGACTGCAGAAGCCAGGAGCTGTGCTCTCCTCCTCTTTTTTTTTTAAAGATTTATTTATATTTTTAATTTTTTTTTAGATTTATTTATTTATTGGAAAGTCAGATGTATATACAGAGAGGAGGAGAGACAGAGAGGAAGATCTTCCATCCGATGATTCACTCCCCAAGTGAGCGCAACGGCCGATGCTATGCTGATCCGAAGCCAGGATCCAGGAGCCTCTTCCGGGTCTCCCACACGGGTACAGGGTCCTAAAGCTTTGGGCCGTCCTCCACTGCTTTCCCAGGCCACAGGCAGGGAGCTGGAAGGGAAGTGGAGCTGCCGGGACTAGAACCAGCAACCATATGGGATCCCGGTGTGTTCGAGGCAAGGACCTTAGCTGCTAGGTCACCGCGCCGCTGGGCCAGATTTATTTATTTTTATTGGAAAGTCAGACAAAGAGGAGGAGAGACAGTGAGGAAGATCTTCCGTCTGAAGATTCACTCCCCAAATGACCACAACAGCCAGAGCTGTGCCAATCCAAAGCCAGGAGACAGGATCCTCCTCCAGGTCTCCCATACCGGTGCAGGGTATCAAGGCTTTGGGCCGTTGTCAACTGCTTTCCCAGGACACAAGGAGGGAGCTGGATGGGAAGTGGGACCACTGGGATTAGAATCGGCACCTACGTGGGATCCTGGCACATTCAAGGTGAGGACTTTAGCTGCTAGGCTACCGCGCCAGGCCCTATATTTATGTTTTATCAAATTTACTGACATGTTCTTTGTGACCTAGCAGTTTATCACTTTCTTGGATGTATTGAGAACATGACAAGAATGTCTATTTCTACTATAAGAGTTTCATCTGTATCCATAAACCCAAATCTAGGGTCCTGGCGCAGTAGCCTAGTGGTTGAAGTTCTTGCCTTGCACTCTCCAGGATCTCAGCTGGTCACCGGTTCCTGTCCCGGCTGCTCCATTTCCCACCCAGCTCCCTGCCTGTGGCCTGGGAAAGCAGTGGAGGATGGCCCAAGGCCGTGGGACCCTGCACCCGCGTGGGAGACCTGGGGGAGGCTCTTGGCTTTAGATTGGCTCAGCTTCGGCCATTGCAGCCACTTGGGGAGTGAACCAGTGGATGGAGGATCTTTCTGTCTCTCCTTCTGTCTGTGGTTCTCCCTTCCCAATAAAAATAAATAAACCTTAAAAAAACAACTAAACCTAGATAAGGTAAGGTAAATATTGAATACTATTACACATGATTAGTGGTGCAAAAGACAATCCTTACAACTTAAACATACATTTCGGATTAGAACTTTAAATGGTACAGCCCACTCAGGAAAGTAGTTTGGCAGTCTTACTAAACATGGACATACAAAATACAAGCCACAAAGTGGACTATTGGACATTTCAAACCAAAGAAATAAAAATCTATGTTAACACAAAAACCTGTACTCAGATTTCTATGTTTTCCTGTTTTACTCATAGTAGCTCAAACTGGCTAATAATACAAACGTCATCCAGCAGCTGAATGTTTAAACAAACTCTGGTAAATCAATATATCGGGATACTACTCAAAACTGAAAAGAAGTTAACTACTAAAAAACAGCAAATTATTAAACATTTTTAAAAATTTAAAAGAAGTTAACTACTCATATACGCAACAAACAAATGGCTCCCAAGGCATTACCTTTAGTGGCAAACAGAAATCCCAAGATCGCAAGAAGGAGCAGCACTGTGGGCAGAGGGTTAAGATGCCATCTGCAACATCACTTCCCATATGAACAAGTCCTGGCTGCTCTGCTTCTGTTTTTTTTAAGGATTTATTTATTTTTATGGCAAAGCCAGATATACAAAGAGGAGGAGAGACAGAGACAAAGCCTCTTTGATTCAATGATTCACTCCCCAACTGACCGCAACAATGGCTGGTGCTGAGCTGATCCGAAGCCAGGAGCCAGGAGCTTCCTCCAGGTGTCCCACGCAGGTGCAGGGTCCCAAGGCTTTGGACCATCCTCTACTGCTTTCCAGACCACAAGGAGGGAGCTGGATGGGAAGTGGAGCTGCTGGGATTAGAACTGGGGCCCATGTGGGATCCCAGCACATTCAAGCCAAGGATGTTAGCCATTAGGCAACTGTGCCAGGCCCAGCTGCTCTGCTTCCAATCCAGGTCTCTACTAATGCACCTCAGAAAAACAACAGAAGCTGGCACAAGGTCTGGCCCATACCACCCACATGGGGGATGGACTTCCAGATCTCTGGCTTCAACTTGGAACAGCCTTAGCTGCCCTTTTCTCTCTATTTCTGTCTGTCATTATGCCTTTCAAATATATATATATATATATATATATCATATATAACACACATATATATTTTTTAACGTCACACTGGTGCCCGGTATGACAGCCAAGTAGCTAAAGTCCTTGCCTTGAATGCTCTGGGGTCCCATATGGGCACCAATTCTAATCCCAGCAGCCCCACTTCCCATCCAGCTTCTTGCTTGTGCCCTGGAAAAGCAGTCAAGGATGGCCCAAAGTCTTGGGGTCCTGCTCCCGTGTGGGAGACCCGGAGGAGGCTCCTGGCCCCTGGTTTCAGATTGGCTCTGCTCTGGCCATGTAGTCACTTGAGGAGTGAATCAGTTGATGAAAGATCTTCCTCTCTCCCTCTTCTCCTCTCTGTATATGACTTTCCAATAAAAATAAATCTTTTGAAAAAGGAAAAACAATTTTAAAAAATTTAAAAACTTTAAAAATAAGCTATCATAAGTACCCCCCAGCTATTTAGAAAACATTTAATAAAAGAAGTATTTCAACCATAATCTCTTCTAAATGTTTACATACTTAAAATTTTTAGAGATTCTAAGGAAATGTTACTTTCGTAAGCATCTTACATTCTTCAGGTTGCACGGATGAGTAAGTGCCGAGATTCAGCAGCTGGCTGGTAAATGTTGACTGGAGCACCGTCTCAGCCGCCCACCGATCTTCGTGAATGGTAACATCTAGAGGGGAGAGAGTCTTAGGCATGCCATAAACTCCTTCACATTGCGCAAAGAAGCCAGTGGCAACGATAGTTCAGATGTGTTAACCGACCTGCTGAGGACACAGAGTGACGCAGAGCCAGCCAGAGTCCGAGCTCAGGAAGAACACATTCTCCTTATCCACACACATGTTCAGTGTTGCTGCTACTCACAGTCAACCTCAGTCTGAAAACATTAAATGGAGATCTCGGAAACAGCTGGGAAGCCAGCACTGCTGTGCAGGGCCCTAGACCAATCCCGGCCTGGCCGGCATGTTGTGTGCGTCCTGTGACAGCTGGCACTGAGCATGCTCCTGCACAAGTTCTCAGCCAAGCACATGACGGGTGCATGGTTTGCCTGGACAAGTATGGATCTGGGTGTGAATCATCAACAATGTGACCTCTCAATGAGGCAAGACAAATACGAACAGTACTCATCAACTTTCACACGCAATAGGCTGAGTGTGGTTTGCACATCCTGGCCTTACCCTACAACCAGGAGCCAGGGAGTAACACCAAAATCAAAGAGTTGGCTGCTGGCTATAACGTCACATTCAGAATGCACAGCAAGATCTGCATGAACGTTGATGACACACATTCTTTGTGGAAGTGGATGACAGTCCAGCCGACGGTCAGGGGAATCCTGGGCAACACCCTCAAGTGGAACTTCACCAAGTCCCTCAGCAACAAGAATAGCTGTGTGGTAGGGTGGTACAGCCCCATGGAGGAGTCCCTGGTGACACAGAAGGACTTGCCATGCTATCTCTAGTTCCATAAGTGCCCTGACCCACCCGAGCCTTCCGCCTATGTCCCCATTCCTTCCACCCAGCACAATGATGGCCCATCTCTAAACCAGCCCATTTGTGAAACCGGCCAGAGAACCTGCATTCACCTGCCAGAGGAGGGTCACATGCCACTGGGTGCCAGCTCGGCGTCCCACCTTGGCTGTCTTGTGGGAATAAAGGACAGAAACTTGGGCCCAATGTGATAACTCCGTGGCTAAATCCTCTCCTTACATGCACCAGGATCCCATATGGGCTCCACTTCCCATCCCCGTTACTCCACTTCCCATCCAGCTCCCTGCTTATGGCCTGGGAAAGCAATGAAGGATGTCCCAAGGCCCTGTGTGAGAGAGCCATAGGAAGCTCCTGGCTCCTGGCTTCAGATCAGCTCAGGTCTTGCCAATGCAGCCTCTTGGGGAGTGAACCAGCTGACAAGATTTTTTTTTCTCTGTAAATCTGCTTTTCCAATAAAAATAAATACATGTATTTTTAAAAAGAAACTAAAAAGAAATAAATTAAGAATGAGCAACTGAGAAGCTTCAAATCACACTCCAATCTGAACAGCGTGATGGAATCTCGCAAGACCTGCTCTATCTCCACTCCGCCCGTGAATCATCCTCCGTCCTGGGTGATCACAGTGAACACACTGCCTGCCCCTGAGTCACTGCCTTGGTTATCAGATCAGCTGTCCAGGGGTGGCAGTGCTCACGTGTGAGTAACCCGTGTCTTAGTTAATCATGGCCTCCACGTGCAGCAGCGGCAATGCTGCTGAGCTGAATATGTCAAAGATGAGCCATAAAGTGTCTCCTCCTTGGAGTGAAAAGATAAAGTTCTCCATTTCAAAGGGAAACTTAAAAATTGCATGCTGAGGCCAAATGCCATTCACCTTACCTCACCTTATCTCTCCCTGGTGCTTAATTTAGGAATTAAATTTCCTAACAGGTGCATATGTACTGAAACAGTAAGATACACAGGGAGCTCGGTACTAGCTGCCTCCAGGTATCCAGAGGGGGTCTTGGAACAAAGCCCCTGTGGTCAAGGAATGAAGACCTTTCTCTTTTTATGAACAAAATAACAAACTGCTGCCACAGTCTTATACATCATTAGTATGAATGCTCATTCATCTATGGGGAAAAGTTTAATGGTATCTGTTTGCCTAAAGCAAATGTTACAGTACATATTTATGATAAACTAACATCAATACAACAAGGCATCCTTAAAGGACTCCATCACCTTTCCCTAAAGTGCATGGTCATCATCCCACAGATGCTAAAAGTGAAGGGCCTTGGTAGCAAGAACACTGTCCAATGGGAAAGCAGGAGCTGCAGGAGCTAAGATGGCTAGCAAAGAATCACCTAGTGTAGGCCTAAACGTACCCGCAGGTAGAAAGAATCTAAGCAGAGCAAAAATTGTGCATTGTAAAGACAGAATGAGGGTTATCGTCCAGTTAGCATATAACCAGTATACAAGGTGTTATAAGTATGAAGATTGTGTTGACAGTAACGAAATCATGTGGAGACGATGGGAAAGGAAAACAAGAACACATGAACTCCAAGTGATGACTCCCACATTCACCCCACGCACTCTCAGCTTAAAGCCTGCATATCTGTAACCGCCCAATGGACACTCCTAGTTGGATACTCCACGGGTTCCTCACACTCACACTGCCCGAATGCGCCTTCCCTCTCATATCACCAGCCTCATTTGTTGGCACCAAGTTGCTAATCAGGTAAACTACCCTATGAAGCCAAGTGTCATTTTATCTGCATTATACCACATATTCCTTGCACTCCTAACAGACCTCCTACCTCTGAATACACATCTCACAATGCAGCCAATGGTTCACTGAGAACATTTATGCCATCAGATAACTTGCATAGAAAACACCCAGGGGTTCCCCACTGCCTGGCCAGTTAAGAGCTAGAACAGCAGCATCCATGCCATGATCCTACTCTTCAGAAGGAAAACAGATGAGATATTTTAGGGGGAGCTTTCTGGAAACCAGAATAACCCCCATGTTGGATCAGCGGTGTGTTGATGACTGGCAACCATGGTGCTCCCTTTTGTCCACCCTTGCTGCTTTTTCATCTGCTTCCCAAGGCTGTGTCCCACTTCCTCCTCTCTCTCAACATTGGTCAGGGGTCTCCCTTAGACACTCCTTAGTTACAACATCTCTTCATTATATGGCTAAATTCACAGGACCAAATGCCTACTGCGTATTACTAAATGGAAGTGATACGTTTGTTTGCCATAGGTTTGTTATACAGAACTGTTCAATATAAAGATATCTTTCAATAATATCATGAGCTGTCCAAGATAGGAATATAACAACATACAACTGGATGCTATAAGCTCAAATGTGACTCTACCCATGAATTTCTACATGATTTATTACAATAAGAAGCACAGTGAGGCACTGGCATTATAATGCATTAAATTAAGCCACAACGTACAACGTTGGCATCACATATGAGTGTTGCTTTGAGTTCTGTCTACTCCGTTTCCAACATGCCTTCCTGCTAACATACCTAGAAAAGCCACGGAGGATGGCCCAAGTACTTGGGTCCCCTGTCACCCATGTGGGAGTCCAGGACAGAGTTTCAGGTTCCTGCCTTTAATCTGATCCAGTAGAGGCCATTGCAGCCATTTGAGTAGTGAATCAGTGGATTCACCCAGTACTGTGGTGAACAGCCTTCGCATTGTCTCTTCCTGCTGCTAATATTATCTTTATTATTTATGTGTTACATATTCTGATTACAGAATCATCCATAATGATTCAGAGCTCTCTGATTATCCCTTTGCTTGTGATCTGGCTCCCAAGTTGTAGAACAGACTACAAGTTGGGAACAGGCCTTAAGTATTGTTTCTTTAGGCACTTAATACCTCATTGTAAACGAAAAACAATTTTATTGTAACTTAAACAGAATTTTAATTTGAGAAGCAGAGAGCTATTGCTGTCATCTTCTGGTTCACTGTCATGATGTTAGAGCTGAGCCAGGCTGAAGCTAGCAGCCAGGAACTCCAGCCAGGGTGACAATGATCCAACCACCGGAGCTACTCCTTGCTGCCTCTCAGCGCGCACAGTAGCAGGAACCAGGGACCCCAAGTGGAGCTAGGGTTCAGCTACAAGCAGGCATCCCAACCAGTGGCTTAACCACTAGAACAAATGTCCACCACTGTAAAAAATGTTTTTAAATTATGGTTTTAATGATCTATTTATTTTTATTTGAAAGGCAGATTTACAGAGAGGAGAGACCAATCTTCCATCCACTGATTTGCTCCTCCAATGGCCTCAATGGCTAAAGCTGAGCTGATTTGAAACTGGAAGCCAGGAGTTATTTTAGGTCTCCCAGGGGGATATGTGGACCGAAGGACTTGGGGCATCTGCTGCTTTCCCAGGGCATAAGCAGGGAGTTGCACTGGAGGTGGAATAGCCTGGACTCGAACTGGCATGTGTATGGAATTCTGGTGCCAGAAGTAGAGGGTTAGCCTATTATACCATGACACTGCCCCCAGCCCATTCTCTATTTTTTCCTTTTTTTTAAGATTTATTTTATTTTTATTGGAAAGGCAAATATACAGAGAGGAGGAGAGGCAGAGAGGAAGATCTTCCATCCACCGATTCACTCTCCAAACAGCCACAATGGCCAGAGCTGAGCCAATCTGAAGCCAGGAGCCAGGAGCCAGGAGCTCCTTCTGGGTCTCCCATGCGGGTGCAGGATCCCAAGGCTTTAGCCCATCCTCAACTGCTTTCCCAGGCCACAAGCAGGAAGCTGGATGGGAAGTGGGGCCACCAGGATTAGAATTAGTGCCCATATGAGATCCCAGACATGCAAGGTGAGGACTTTAGCCACTAGGCTATTGTGCTAGACACTCCTTATTTTTTCAAAAACAAACTTTTTTTGAAAGGCAGAGAGGGAGAAAAAGCAGTGGCCAGATAAAACCATTAGCTGAATTACTCCCCAAATGGCTGTAACAGCCAGGGCTAAGCCAGGCTGAAGCTAAGAGCCCGGAACTGTGTCTGGTCTCCCACATGGGTGGCAACGACCCAATCACTTGGGCTCTATCCTCTGTTGCTTCTAGGGGGCTCATTGGCAGGAAGCTGGATCAGAAGCACAATAGCTAGGGCTCAGAGCAGGAATGGTACTGCGGCGTGTAGGTGTCCCAAATGGCAACATAACAGCTACACCAAAAATGTGCCCCTTTATTGTCCTTACTGATTTTTTCTTTTTTTACAATGAGGGAGTCAACTTCTGCCTTTATTTCTGGTTTTTTTTTTTTGTTAAGATTTTTTAATGTTTATTGGCAGAGCACATTTATAGAGAGAATGAGAGACAGGTTTTCCATTCCATCTGTTGTTTCACTTGTCAAATACCTACAACATTTAGGCTGAGCCAGACTGAAGCCAGAAGCCCAAAGCTCAAATCCATGTGCAAATCCAGCCATCACTGCCTCTTTCCTCCTGGAATGTGATTTAACAGGAAGCTGGAATTGGCTGTGGAGTCAGGACTCAAACTCAGGAAGTTCGATAAAGGATGCAGGCACCTCAAGCAGTGCCCTAAACCTCTGTGCCACATGCCTGCTTCACAGATACACATCTTAATAAATGAATAAAAGTAGCTGGCAGGGAGCACTCTACAACCCTGAATCAGCTGGTTATGCGAAGTTACATATTACTAAGAGTTTTTTCCCTTGCATGTTTTCAAATGTGATTAATATAATTTTTAAATGGAAAAGTACCACAGAAATCTCTATCTGTTCCCTTGCTAAGTAAGTTATGTGCACAGTATGATTAGGGAGTAAGCAGCAGCAGAAAAGCCATATCCTTTGATCCCAAGACTATTACAGTTAATAAAAAGGGCTAAAAATAAGACACATCTGACACAGACAAAGCCATCAGACAGCAAGGAACCTGGTTATCTGTCTGAACACTGACATGGGGAATGAACAAGAGCAGACCCGGGAAAGGCTTGTTGGCAGAGAGGGACAGAACAGAGGCCCACAGATAGTCACGCACAGGACGCTGGGCATACTCTACCTGATCAGTCATGCTAGGCCCAGAAGAGGCCAAAAGAAAGAGCCCTAGAAGACTTCAAGAGGAAGGAACAGAAATAAACCAAAACCCCCCAGAGCTTTAGAAAAGACCCACCCCTCTACCACCACGACCTCACCTGTCAGTAAAATCACATCTCCAAGAAACACTGTCAGTGCCCAAAACGCGGCAGTCCTCCACAGGGAAACCTTCCTGGTGGCTTCTGACTGATCCGTTACCACAATCGTCGCTAAGGGCACTTTAGTGCCAGCGTTGGGGCCCGACTTGATGCTGACCTCTTTCAGGTGACATGGAGCTAGCACCATGACTAAACAATTATACTTCTGACTTTTGGAGTCACAGCTTTTGATTAAGGATGTCTTTTTCACACCCTTAGACACCAAAGCAGTCCTCTGGCCCGCTGTCACGGCATAGTTGGCTGTAGGAGAGGCCAGCTTCCTTTTCTTAGGTGCCCGGGGGGCATCAGATGGGGCGTGCCTGTCTTTCGGTGCCCGGGTCCCTTGGGCCGCACTCCTGCAGGAGGTGCTTCGCTGGGAGCAGAGTATTCCGGAGCCACACAGCTCGATCCCGACCTCACTGGGCAGCGGTTCCTCCTCGGAGCTGAAAAGCTCTTGGGATCCTATGTTTTCAACAAGAGCTCTCTTAGAGTTGAGGTCGGTGTGGCTGCTTGTGTCAGAACACATGGGACTGAAAAGTTCAAGCGAGTGGGCTTGGCTTTGGTCGCTCCCGCTTCCTTCTGCTGAGTCGGCACTGGACTGACTCTCCTGGGCTGCAGTTGGTCTCACTTCCCCCAGTCTGGTCTCTGGCTCAGTCTCCATGTTTACAGTCGCTGCATTTACAGATGCCTGCCCTTCATCCTTCCTCATAGCTAAAAAAGCCAGCTGGCTGGAGGTCATCACACTGAGAAACTCAGTGGCAGCAGACACGTGCTGCTCAGAGAGCGTCTGCCCAGCTCCCCGAGGTCCAAGCTCAACCACCTGACACGGGGCTTGTGCTGTTGGCTCCTGCTGGGTTTCCACAGTGCCTGGCCCCATCGCGACTGGCTGGGCACTGAAGGGCACACCGGACATGGCAGCACTCTCGGGATTTAACCTCAAGCCGTCAGTTTGAAAGCCCCGACCACTTGTGCAGGCCTGGTTAGTAAGCAGCTCACTTGTAATTTTCTTGTTTTCCTGCTGCAGCTCATGGTACTTTCCCCCTTCTGTTAACTGCTGAAATCCATGTGGTTGCAACTTAGGGTTAGTCACATCCTTCAGTCCTGACAGGTGGATCTTCACAGATTTTGCACTTCCTGCTTCAGAATGACAATATGTAAATTCATCTTTCTCAGGAATGGATCTATTTATGGGGTTCACTAACACGGGGCCATCAGGAAGCTCTGCTGGGACCTGAGCATGCCCATCACTCTCGTGGGCTAGGTTCTCATCCTTCCCGCCAAGCTGTGGAAGCTGCATTTCCCGCCAGGGCTCAGCAGTGGGGGCTGGAGACACTGCTTCCTGTGATACTGTCATTTTCAGGGGACCAACCGGAGCACCCCAAAAAACATGCACTTGAGCTCCTCTGCTCATGGTTTCTGGAAAAAACGAAAAATACAAAGTTTAGTCAGTAGATTTTTATATGCTGATATTAATTTTATAATGTACCATAAGAAAACTATGACCAAAGCATAATAAAAATTATATCATTTAATATAATTTATAAATAAAAAATCATCAGGAGAAATACAAAAGTCACCATAAAACTTCTCCTGAAGATTTTTTTAAATAAGCTTATCTTTGTACTGTTTTTCTTTGTTAATTTTTTTTTTATTTGAAAGGCAGACTTACAGAGGGAGAGAAAGACAGAAATATTTTCCATCAGCTGATTCATTCCCCAAATGGCTACAACAGCCGGAGCTGAGCCGATCCTAAATCAGGAGCAGGGAGTCTCCCACATGCGTTCAGAGGCCCAAGGAGTTGAGCCATCCTCTGCTGCTTTCCCAGTTCACAAGCAAGGAGCTGGATCAGAAGCAGGGAAATGGATTGAAGTAGGGCAGCTAGGACTCGAACCAGCTGGCATGCTGGCACTGCAGGAGGAGGATTATCCTGTTGAGCCACTGTGGTCAAACTCACATCAAACAAGTGACTAAATGTTCAGTACATTCATATCTGATATTTTTAAAAAGTTGCCCCTATTTAAATAACAAGTAGTAATAAAAGGGGGAAAGGCATTTACTGAATTGTAGTCGTCTTTATTATCTGTGTTTTATTGCACAGATTATCTCAATAAGTATAACACCTTCTTTCTTCAACAATGAATTCAATTCCCATATGCAAAGTAGAAGGCTGAGAAAATTTACAAGTGAGTCTGCCAATTAAAAATATTTATTCTAAAAGTAGAAAGAGAGAGAGATATTCCACCTGCTGATTCACTTCCCAAATGGCTACAATAGCTGGAGCTGGGCCAGACTGAAGTGAGAAGCCAGGAGCTCCAGCCAGGTCTCCCGCATGTGCGGCAGGGACCGGAACACTGCAGTCAACATCTGCTGCCTTCTCCTGAGTTAAACCTGAGACAGAGCAGGAGCCACTCCACCGGCAAGGGGCTCCAATAAAGCAAGGGAGGCTTTTTTTTTTTTTTTTTTTTAAAGCTACAGAGAGAAATGAAGAGAAAAAAAGAAGGCACTTCCATCTGCTGGTACACTCCCAAATTGGTCATAATGGAACAAAGCGGGAACAAAGCCAGAAGACAGGAGTTTCTTCCAAGCCTCCCTTGTATGTTGTGGGGTCCAAAGACTTGAACCATCTTCTGCTGCTTTCTCACATTCATTAGCAGGGAGCTGGATCAGAAATGGAATGGATATGAATTAAAGCAAGGCCTATTTGGGATGCTGGTTTCACAGGCATTAACTTTATCTGCTATGCAACAATATCTCCAACATCCCAAATTGACTTTTTAAAAAACATCCTGGTGGGGCCAGTTGGCTCAGCTGGCTAATTCTCCACCTCCAAGCACTGGCATCCCATAGGATGCTGGTTCATGTTCCAGCTGTTCCACTTTCTATCCAGCTCCCTGCTTGTGGCTTAGGAAGGCAGAGGAGGATGGCCCAAGGCCCTGGCACCCTGCACCCTGCACCCATGTGGGAGACCAGGAAGAGGCTCCTGGCATCTGGCTTTGGATTGGCTCATTTCTGGTTGCTGTGCTAATTGGAAAGTGAAGCGGCAGAGAGACGATCTGTTCTGTCTCTCATCCTCTGTAAATGTCTTTCCAATAAAAATCAATAAATATTTTTCTAAAACATACTAGTGATTGTATTATCTATCTTCATTTTAATACACAATCAATAATTGTTTCTATAGTTTTTAAGCTTCTCTAAAATACAAATAGACTAATTTTAGACATTTTGTAATATGCAAAGAAGAGAAACTCACTATAAAATTTTTTGATTAACTGTGGCATTTGATTCAAATATATCTAAGCCAGTAACATACTAAGATAAAGTATTATAATAACTGATTTTCAAAAGCATTTATTAAATAGATCTAAGGAAACAATTACAATCAGGGGAAGTGTATACCACAGGAGACGGACACTGTAGTAGACATGGTATGAATGAGGATCACTGGTCAGTGGACAGGACCCGATGTAGAAAAAGCAAAGGACTAAACCATGAAAAGCCCAAATGGAAAAACACACTGGATCACTGCCACCTCGGCCAAATCCAATGATCCAGATTATTCCAGATTATACCTTGGGATTTCAACATCCAATGTGGATTTTTTTTTTTTTAAAGATTTATTTTTATTATTTTTTCATTGGAAAGGCGGATATACAGAGAGGAGAGACAGAGAGGAAGATCTTCCATCCGATGATTCACTCCCCAAGTGAGCGCAACGGGTCGATACTATGCTGATCCGAAGCTAGGAGCCTCTTCCGGGTCTCCCACGCGGGTGCAGGTTCCCAAAGCTTTGGGCCGTCCTCGACTGCTTTCCCAGGCCACAGGCAGGGAGCTGGAAGGGAAGCGGGGCTGCCGGGATTAGAACCGGCGCCCATATGGGATCCCGGGCGTGCAAGGCGAGGACCTTAACCACTTGCGCCACCGCGCCGGGCCCGATTTTTTTTTTTTTTAAGCCAGAGAAAAGATAGATAGGGATAAAGACAGAGGAAGACAGACACACACCAGAGAATTTCTTTCTGCTAGTTCACTCCCTGTATATTCTAGGAGCTGGGATGTTAACTCCGGTCTCCCAGCAAGGCAGCAGGGATGCAATTACCTGAGTCATCACTGCTGCCTCCCAGGGTCTGCAGAGTTGGAGTCAGGAGCCAGAGCAGGAATGTAACTTAGTTACTCCAATGTGGCTAAACACCTACTCCCCCTACTTACTGTACTTGACCTCAGTCCTCCGTCCAATCCAGCTCCCTGACAATAACCTGGGAAAAGCAGTGAAAGAGGCCCAAGTGTTTGGGCCCCTGCACTCATGTGCAGATTGGATTAAGCCCCAGGCTTCTGGCTAGCCCAGTGCTGGCTCCTGTAGCTGCCTGGGGAGTGAACCAGCAGATGGAAATTTTCTAAGCATGTCTATCCCTGTAATTCTTTCAAATAAATGAATAAAATTCAAGAAAATTTTTACTAAAAATTTTTATTTATAGTTTATTCATTTGTTGGTGACAGGGGGAGCAATGTGATGTGGAGGAAGGGTGGACTGTCCATTTGCTAGTTCATTCCTCAGATGCCCACATAGCTTGTGCTAGATCAGGACAAAGCCAGGACCAGGAGCTCCATGTGGGTCTCCCACATGGATGGCAGGAATTCAGGTACTCGGGTCACTATCTGCTGGATCAGCAGGAAGCTGAACTGGAAGTGGAAGCAGCACTTGGTCCCAGATTTGGGATGTGAGTAATCCAAGCCTCATCTACTGAAACATAATGCCCACCTCGTAACAACTGGTTTTGAAAACTGGCAAGAAGAATTTTATCCTGTCATTTATACTAACAGTATCTCAGTGATCAAATGGTGAGAGAAAACCCTTATGGGCACTTTGCTAATAAACAATAAAGGAAGGATAGACTCTCATTCTATAATTTTGAATGAACTAGTGGATCTTTCAGGCAATGCTCAGTAATGGCTTTTGACAGCACAAAGTTCAAGGAGAGGGGAAGGGCCCTGCAGACTGAGGCCAATTACAGACCAGTTACTGAGATCAGGACTTGAACAAGCAAAATGCAAACCTGACAAGACAACCAGAGAAACTGAGGCCTTGACTGACATGTGACTTAGTGGGATAATGGGATTCTGGCTGCATATGGAAGACGCAGGTGAGAGCACACAGACCTGTGTGAATCCCAGACTTCTTCAGAATCCTGGAGAGCGGGGAGGGAGTGATTGTGTTGATGACTGTTGGGGCAGGCTGATAGTTCACATGTAGTAACTCACTGTACAAACTAATAAACTATTGTATGGGCTTTAATCATCCTACATTATTGGTTTAGCCCTCTTGTTTTTGCCTTATGAAACATGGCTTAACATTCACAAGACTGGAAAAGATTTTAAATAGTCTGACAAAAATCAAGACTGAGAAACTCTTACAATTATTGGTGCAAGGATGAATTGGCACCCACTACGAGCAACAATTTGGCAAAGCATAGTAAAACTGAATATGCATAAGCCATATAACAAAACAACTCAGAAGTTTCTTACATACAATTCACATTTCTGTAAGAAAACATGTACAAAAGTGAGCATGGGAAACTTCAAAATCCCCCAAGATTAACATAACCTGAAGTCACGGTAACCTAGTGGCTAAAGTCCTCGCCTGGCATGCTCCAGGATCCCATATGGGCACTAGGTATAATCCCGGCGGCCCCGCTTCCCTTCCAGCTCCCTGCTTGTGGCCTAGGAAAGCAGTGAAGGATGGGCCAAAGCCTTGGACCCTGCACCCGTGTGGGAGATCCGGAAGAAGCTCCTGGTTCCTGGCTCATGGCTTTGGATGGGCTCAGCTCTGGCCATTGTGGCTGTTTGGAGAGTGAATCAGTAGATGGAAGATTTTCCTTTCTGCCTCTCCTCCTCTCTGTATATCTGCCGTTCCAATAAAAATAAATAAATCTTTTTTTAAAAAGAAGATACAACAAAAGTTCTTAAAATCTGAAAGACCAGGAAGAAAAGAATGGGTACATTGTGGAAAATTTAGAGAAGGACTGCCATAGGGAAGCATAAGTAAATGAACAGAACATACCAACACACAGGGTACTTCAGAAGGGTCACAGCGGATGGAACTAAGCATAAGCTTATTTGAAAAAAAAAAAAAGAAACCCACGTATATGAGGGGGTTTCCAAAAATCTCAAGAAAGTATATAATGTGGAAAAACTGCAATTTTAGAACTTTTTACAATATAGCTTTTTTTTTTTTCAAGAACTTTGAAGTATCCTTGTGGATATGTCTTACAAATATAAGTTTAAATTTAAAAGATAATTTTAAGAATGTGTAGCTTATGGTATCAATATACTGAGCTTTACAATATGCCTGGAATGGGTAGGCGTTGTTGTTGTGTAGCATGTTAAGCTGCTACCCACAAACCCATGTAGGACTGCAGGTTAGA